GCGAGAATCGGAGCGGCGACGGCCATGCCGGCTCGTGCCGCCAGGCCCTACAGTAGTACCCTAAATGGTAGGATCCTTATTATAGGGACCCCCAAATATACCCCATGTTTTCGGAAACTCCCCTGTCTTCGCCAAAAATACTTCCACAAACGCACGGCGCGGTGGTGGCAGCCCAAACAGGAGAGCCCTAACGCCTGGGATTTGATAATGAGTTCGGCTGGGAAATGTTGCCCGAGCCGGGCTGTGGCGAGAATGTGTTTTCGCTTGGAGATATGCACCGCGCCACAGTTGCAGACGCAACAGAGCCTCGCACCCCATCGCGGCCTCAGCAATAACCTCATGCCTGTACACTGAACAAAAAACCTCACACTTACACGGTTGGGGATTTGCAAACCTCGTGTGCTACTTCCAGGCTCTGGCAAATCAGCGATGAAAGGCTTCGCGGCCTCACATCGCCGGCTAAGGGAGGGTCCACGCGGGGGCTTGGTCACATGCAACCGACACGGAGCCTCGGACTTGAGTACGAGAATGGTCGCGGACGCGTTCTTCACGTCTTGGATGAGATTGAACCACAGTCCAGTCACTTTGTCTGAGCGCGGCTGCCAGGCCGGCATCTTGCCATCGGCTACCACGAGGTCATGGAAAAGCTCCGGGCTGCGCGTGTGTGTCCTTAAGAGATCGCAACATTCTCAGGTTGAAACCATGGGCCCCTAGCATGGGCCCTTAAGGGTGGGATCCTTACATGTATATACCCTATATGTACCCTTAAGTGTCCCTAGAAAGGCCTTAGGGTCCATATTAGGGGCTCATACTTCTAACCTAAAAAACCATGCTGCCACCAATGCTCTGCTTGACCTATGCCTCTCACAGCAAGTATTCCCGGGGTGAATGGCAGCCCCAACACGTATGTACAAACAGTTGTGCACATGTGTGATGAATGTGATCTCAAGCCTGAAAACGTCAACCCTATCGCGCACTTGCAAGTCGCGTCATGTCTGTCCAGTCGTTCTGCAAGCCTTTTCGTTCCCCGGGCAGAATCCAAAAGTTGTAGGCGGCCCACAAGTAATCCGCGGGCTCACGCACCACAAACAGCAGCTTGACCTTTCCTGTCCAGCGATGAGCCAGCGCCTGCTTGGGGAAACCGATCCGTATTACACAAAGATCTTAAGATGGGAAGGGAAAGGCTTGCCCCCAAGAGAACAAGCACCTTCTTCTCCAGAAAGAAGATGTCGGTGATGACGAGTACCGCTGCAGTCGAATTGTCGTACCTGCCCCTGATCCAGCCAACGAGCCGATTGCATTCTTTCAGTGCCCTAAGAGGCATTCCTGTGCAAGCTGATATGACGGGCTTTCCGGGGATCTGCAAAGTCCTCGCGATCGCGAAAGCGGCCATCTCAAACTCAACCTCTTGTCCCGCCAGAGAGCCCACCTGCTTTCCGAAAGTCACGGTATTTGGGTGAGACTGGAGAATGCGAAAAACATGCGAGCTGCTGCATTTCGCGAATCCTCCGACCACAATCAAGTTGGAGGGTGCTTCTTCCATAGAAGCCGGAAAGCTGTTCAATGGCAGTGCCATGGTCGTCACGGCCCGGGCGGGATCAGTCTGCATGCCTTTGTCCACGCACTTGCTTGTGCTGCCGCCGAGGCATGCATCGTAGTGAACTGCAAAAGAGGAATTCAGCACTCGGCAAACGTCTTGCGTCTTGGAATAGATCGCGCGCCTTGTGGCACACAGCATTGGCCTGTTGCCAGAGATCTCGTACACTCCGATCCTTACTGGATCTCTTTGGACAGTGTCCACCCCTCGATGCCCGGTGCTCGATTGAGAGTTGGTTCGTCCCAGAGCCACGTCGAGGGGAAAGCCAGAAGCGCTCACACCCAGGAAGGAAGCCATCTTTTCCAACGTCGCACTCACATGGTCAGTAAAATCCTGCAGCACGATCGGAACGCATACACAGGAAACCTCCGTGTTTTTTGCCTTGGTTGTTCGGGTTTCGGGGGTTCGGGGTCGCAGTTTGGGCAAGACACAGGTCTTCGCGGCCTGATGTGGGGGACTGGGGCATGCGTGATGCGACGAAGGCTTGAGGGCTTCAGGTTGAGCATGCTGATTAGATCCCGCAGTGCCTCGGACTTGAGAACGAGAATGCTCGCGGACGCGTTCTTCACGTCTTGGATGAGATTGAACCACAGT